GATTTTGAGAACTGAATTATTGGAAACAGAAGTGTTCATGAGCAAGGGTATTACTGTATACTGTATTTGTTTTAAGTCTTTTCTCTATGCATTTCATTTGCCTAATTTCTATAATTTCACATTTCTAAATTCTCTATTTTTTGTCCTGTAATATCTAATTTACTATTGGTCCTATCCAGCAGGATTTTTATTTTAGATAATGTACTTTTATGTGTAGAAGTTCTAGTCAAATGTTTGTGTATATTACATTTCTTTTCTCATTGTTATGATTTCATTTAAATTCTCCAGCATATTGAGCACATTGAAAATAGCCACTAATTCTATCACCTGTTATTTCTACTTCTGTTGATTAATTTTTCTTTTTGTTATGGGTCACATGCCTAGAAAATATTTTTTTTTGCATTTTAGATTTTTTTTGGATGCCAAACATTGAGAAATTTTATATTGTGGGGTATTTTATTTTATTATTATTATTTTTTTGGTGATATTTAAGGATTGTTGTGCTTTTTTTCTGGCAGGAAGTTATGTTACCTATGGATTATGTCAATTTTTTTTAAGGTTTGTTTTAAGAACTCTGGGGGGAAGAATATAGTAGCCTTTATTCTAGGGCTACTTAAATCCTGCTCCACTGGGGGGAAGGTCTTTACTCAATTTTTTGTGTATATAATGAGGAATTTTCAATTTGAATTGTGCAACTTCAATATCATCAGTTTTGTGTCTTCTAAGAATCCTGTGGCTTACTTCTTGGAGATGCAAATTTGGTCCAGCCAAAGTCTCAGGAAACCCTGATGCGGATTTCGAGAAATGCTTTTCCCTCTTCATTATTCTGACCCACATATTCCAGGCAGTTTTTGCCTCCCCTAACTCTGATGTGTGTATTTGTGACTCAGCAAATTTTCTATCACTGTGTGTAGTCTGTCTCCCTAGTTTATGCTCTAAAAATTGTCCCTAGACAAAATCTGGGCCAATTTCAGGATTACCTCATTTGTTTTTCTTTTCCAAGAGAATCATATTCCTGTATTTATTGTTCATGTCTGAAAGCAGTTCTTTCACCTTTTTGTCCAGCTTTTTACTTATTTGTAGTAAGAAAGTAAATCTAGATTGCAATGTTTCCCATTGAAAAAATTAGAGGAAGATGCAGTAGTTTTGTCAAATGATTAAAATGGTGGGACATTTTGGAAGTAAAATTAAATATGGGGTCAGTTATGGAAACATATAGATGTATTTGAAGGCCTCATCTTATAAATTTATGTTCAATGAACAAAATAAAATTCATAAAGCAATATTGACATTATTTTAGGTTATAGTACTGTTTTAAAATTTTTGTAGGGGTGTTAGTACTTTTATAAGATAATATTTAGTATAGCATTTGTATACAAACTTGTTTCTTTCTAATGTTGATGAATTTTCCTTTCTAATAGAACTGTAATTGAATAAAACAAATATTAAGAACATTCATTTTTTAGAAAATTGACTTTTCAAGAGAAATATACAAGTTATAATAGAAAAATCAGGTATATTGACTTTTTTTACACTTAGTATTCTGTGTGTTTGTGGTGTATACCAGTTATATGAGTGTTCAGGCTTTTCTGTATAATTTCAGTAATTACATATTTTAAGATACTAACCTCTTTATCTTATTGTTTTAAACATGATGAAAGGTAGGTTCAACCAATTATCCTAATCCCAGTGGTCTCATGAAAAATTTGGGTATTAAAAATGGCTATTACTAAGATTTTTAATGTTCTTCTGATTTCGTCTTGGAAGTTTTGTTTTTTTTTTGGTTTTTCTCCGGTACCGGGAACCAAACTCACGACCTTGCGCTTGCCAGGCAGGCGCTTTTGCCGCTGAGCTAAATCCCCAGCCCCGTTGTCTTGGAAGTTTTTTTACTGATGCTTTTGCATTGTATAACAACACATGGAACTACATATGTTGGAATTGATTTAGATCTTGTATTTCCAGCTGTGCTTTCCTTCTCCAGCAAATCTTAGCTTATAGTCAGAGATAGCATGCTCCTGTTTTTTGGCCTGTGCCAGCCTGTGGATGTAATTTTTTAGCCTGTGTGTGGTTGGTGTTTGCGGTGCCTGCACTCTACCACCAGCAATGTAAAATACACCAAGTTCTCAGAGCCACCCACTTAAGATGGGTGTAATTTGTCCAGGTCATCATTCTTATTGTAACTCCTCATCCTATCCATCAATGTTCATTTAATTCATTCAACAAGTGTTTATGTTGGCTTTTTTGTTCTTTGATGTTGCATGATTGATCCTAGATCTGAAGTGAAAGATTGGAAGTGAGAAAAGAGACGGTTTCAAAACACTGGAGAGGAGTCCTTATCTAGGTTTATGTGTGGTTTTGGGTTCCGGTTATGGATTTAATAACTTTAATGTTTTTGAAGCACTGAAAAGAAGGACTCATCCGTGCTCATTTTCCCACATGGTTATGGATGAACAAGAGGACAGACAAGCCTGCGCTCCTTGGTCACAGAGAGTTGGCGAAAGATTGGAGCAAGAAAGAAGTTGGTAGGAGGCACCTTCTTGTTGAAAATGCAATGGGAGGTGGGATGGACCCACCGCCTATTCCCTTTTCCTCCTCCATCAACCAGTGGCAAATATTGCTGCTGCTTTAATTTAAACCTTTGTCGTGGAAACATTCATCAAGAGAAAACCATAGTAGGACTGTGGATGGTGATTCAATACAGACAAAAATAACTAGGTTACTTTTCAGTGGGTATAAATGAAAGCTAAATTCAAGGAAAGTATGTGAAAATAGGTAAGGTTATATTTCACATTTACTTTGCTCCATTTTCTTAAATTGTTCATTTCTTTCTCTGTTAATTTGCTTCTCTTCGAGCAGCTTGGATGGCTGCTGTGTGGAACATAATTGTATTTGGAAAAGTTGTGCTATAGGTTGGCCCATATGGTGGGAGAGCTTGTTCCCTTTTATGGAAAACCTTGCCTGTGTGTTATGACATCATTCCTTATAAAGGTAGAAATGGATTATTGTGCACATATAACATAATGAATTTATATGAGATATAGTGGCTATCCCATGAGTGAGGGAACAAGACATAATTTGGAGTTGGAGCCTAGAGTGATTTATGAAGGTCATTGTCTTACAAGTTCAGATGCTTTCCATATGGCGTTGGAGAAACCCCCTTATGTACTGTATGTATAAAACATATGTAGCAAATTAGTTTCACTTACATTTTTCCCCTAAATATGTTTTGGTTTAAAAATGACAGTGTCTTTTGTTTATCTGGTCTGTAAAACACTACATTTTTTTTTTCTAAGAGAGAGACTATTTATTAATAAGGACTAAGGGTTTTTAAGTGCAACAGAGCAACTTGAATGTGAAGCCTTTTGACACTAGGCCTTGCTCATACCTTGAGTGCCAGAGTCTTCCTTCTCATTGGATTTATGGCTTAACTTCTGTATCACACTGAACTCGAGTGTGCTGCACAGTGTGACCTTGTCTAGGGAGAGGAAAATGGATCACTCATTTCCCAGCTGTACTGTATTCTATTTCTATTTAATTGCATTTTCAAATAGATGTGAAGATGCCATTACCTACTCCTAAAGGCAATTGTTCTACTTAAAGAAAGATCAGAATAGATTAGGAGTAATGTTCAAAGTTGAAAGTATATTTAACCTAACGAGAAGCCACTTTGAAGGTATCAATATGTAATACAACCACCATTGTTAATTCCCTACCACTTTGTTTGTAACTCTGTATTGTCTGTATTATGCTTGTGATATGTTGTAAAATGTTGTATGTCTGTTGATATTTCCCTCCTTTTATCTTTAAAATAAAAAAAAAGAAAGTATATTTAACCTAAAATAATATGCTTTTGGTTGGCTTTAGCAACAATCCTATTGACAGATTTTTTTTCTTTGTGTCATTGTTTCAGTTGTGGAGACTTAAAGTGTACATGCTCTCAGTCTGTAGGCTAGTATTTCTAACCCTTCAGGAATTTTCTGACTTTGTAAAACTTTCCCCAACAAGAATCTACAGCGTACATATTTCATTTAACACTACAAAGCATCAGTGGGTCTCCAAGTATAATTTCATATTTTATTTGAAAAATTCATACCACGCTTTAAACATTTGGAAACTCACCAGTATGTCACAAAACTAAGACTGGGAGTCATTAGAGACATAATCCCACAGCAAAATACTACCTAAACATTTTTGTTGAAGAAGAGTGTCCTGCATTATTGAAAGTGTTCCTGGCTAGATGTAAGCAGTTGTATTATAGCTCATTTATGACATCTAGCAGAATTCTTTGGCTAGATATTATATAATTTTCACAGTTATGTAACCTCTAAGTAGCACATTGCAATAGTATTTATGCTTGATTTGAAAACCTTGATAATGTGTATTTGAAAAATATTCATTGAAGATAAAAGTAAAACTTTGGAAAGAAGAGTTTTCTATCCATTGGGCTACACAGCAAAGCACTTAGAAAATAACTAAATAGGTGAGGCAAAAATTGGTATTGGAACGTAGAATGCCTTAGTTTTTAAATTTCCAAATTTAACTGAAAATTAGTATGTGTATATATATGTACATGTGCCATATGTTTGTATATGAACACACATTCAAATTTAGCAATAGTATGAAATAATCCCAACAGGATTAACTGATGTCAGCTCATCTTGGCAAGGTGTTTACAGGCTCTAATGCAATGTCACCAAAGCTTGATACTGTACCTTAATTCCCATGAGACATTTAGGGTCTGCTTCCCAGGATGTATGTGTTCTTCTTATTTCTGGAGAAAGTTGTTTCAGGGACATGTTAGCAAGTGTTTTGACATCATCTTCTTAACTATTGCTTTTGCTATGAATGAAGAATGGGTGCTGGTCTCTGAAGCTGTTAATTTAGCTTTTTCAGAATCACTGTGATTCATCTGCTATAATGAAATTCTCCCCTTCATGTACACAGGCAAATTTTGATCTCAGCATAAATCTTCTTTTCTCTTTTCACTCTTCTTCCCACAGACAGCTCCCAGGGCTGTGCACCACATCACCACAGAAAGTCATCTGCAGCCACTGTGGTGTGGTGTTGGGCGTGAGGAGGTAGAACAGTAGCAGGTCCTGCAGACGCTGTTCTCCAGGTTCTGAATGGTCTGTGTGTGCCACATTGCTCAGCAGATATCCATGGGCTTCTGGTTGGCTTCAGAGGCTGAAGAAGGCAACAACTCTGTGGAGTCTGAACATCTGCTAAAATCATGATGGTTTGGGGATGAGCTCATAGCAGGTAGGTCAACAGACTGCTCAGCACAGCTATCATCAGCCAGATTCACTACTGTCACCCCACTGAGAATTGCTAATGCATCCCAGTGGGCGTGAAATTTGGGAGCCAGCCAAAGAGCTGTTTTCCTCAAGGCTTGGGGTGGGAGTGGGAATGAGAATAGAAAAGAAGGAGAAATTTGAAAAGTGATTTCTGGAACTCTGAGTTGCTCACAGCCCAATGTGAAAAATAAAGCTAACCACCCAACCCACAGACACCAACAACTACATCAAACCTTCACTCTGATTTGCCTAAGGCCAGGACTCCTGCATCTTGAGGAAAGACATAAACCCCAGATTGTATATCTGTCTTTGCTTGATTTTTCTCAAACTGTGCCCAGGAAGTATGCAGGGGGTCACATGACCTGGTTTATCATCATGTTAATCAATGCTTTCTTTGATTTGCAGATTAATAAGCAAAAACAATAAAAGGAAAGTATGTGAATCAAACGGATATCATGGTAAGAACTTTGTTTTTAGGATAGCTTTTAAAGGCAATGTGGAAAATGTATCATCTTTGGAACTGGGCTTAAATCTCAGCTCTGAGCAGGATGAATTTCCTGGCTTCAGCTTCTTCACCTACATTACAAAGTGAGGACGCTGTGCAGGGTTGTTGGAGAGAGAATGCGTGGAAAGTGTCAGCGCCTACCTGCTGGTGAGTGAATCTCCGGCTGCATCTCCATGAGGTGGGGTTGTAGCATGTTTGCAGATACTCTAGAGATGAGGAACAAATTTTCTAGTGACAAAATAATCATAGTTAGAAACTAATAGGGGCTTAAATGGTAATAATTTTGTTAAGACTTTATGAGCTGAGGTATTATGTGATGCTATGCAGTATTGGTGGACACTGGGGAATTTATCAACTTTCAACTAAGAATTTTTCCAAATCGTTATCTGTGGTCATTGATGTATCATTATTTTATCCAATCATGAATTTTTCCTATGATATTATAGAATAATTAGTAAAGCTCCACAGAAATCATCTAGTGTTGTTGCCTTCATTCTGGGGTTGAGAAATGGAAGCCCCAAGCTCTCTGTTAAGTTACTGGCAGATCTGGGAGAACACAGACATCCCGAGCTTAGACATCTTTTCTTTATCTCACGGCCCCGTGGCATGCTTGCTGTTGGAAACCAGCTGTTATCTGTAGAACCTAATTTTTAGCGTGCACATTGTGCTTTATACATCAGGCTTCTACTTTATTATTACTATGGCAGGTTACTCTTTTCATATTCTCTTTTACAGAAACTTATTTTCTTATTTTTTTCCAAAGTAGTCTTTATTGTTCATTAGTTGTCTTTAAGGAAATGCTTCAAAATAAAACTGTGTTGATTTTTTTTTCCCTGAAGACTAATTCCCCCAACAGCTGGCTTCATTTCTTCTCCACTTTTAAAAGCATGTCCCTTTCACTTGTTATATATTAATGTTTTTCAGAAATGTTTATTAAGTGGATCAATTTTTCCACTCCTTTCAACACTAGAAAACAAAACAAGTTGAATCATGTCAAAAGCAAGTAGTCCTCAGGGATCATACAGACATAATGCTTTTTCTGGACATGCTTTAAAAATGAGAGGGCATATCATCTTGTGAATTCTACTAGGTCTGGTTAAATATTACTAGGGAAGCAAAATTTGTTATATAGAAATCCAGAAACACTTTTGTAGCTTTGAGTTCTTTCCCTTGAAGAATATATTATGAAAGTGACTCAGTGATTCATAGACTGGAATTTTTATATTAGGTTATTAGTTTATGAATCAAATGATCTGTTATATAACATAAAAATTATTTTAAGATATTTTGCTTTTAAAACACATGATCAACATATATCCATATATAATATGAAGTCTTTCAGAACATATATTATCACTAAGTATTTGCTTAAATATATTTGGTGTGTGGTGAGTTTGTTTGTATACTCACCATTTCAAAAAATGTCATCAACAAGATATAGCTACTAAATACATTTTCCGTGAGAGACAAACACTGGTTTAGGGATTGCCTCAGAAATGACCTAAGAGCTCTCCAGAAAAAGGTCATTATAAACTATGATAGATGCTCTACCAATTCAATAAAAACTATTTACCGTATGTTTTCTAGTCTTTCCTATAAGATATATGTAAAATAGAATGTTCAGTTTTATGCAGACAATGAATGTATTTGTTCCCTAAAGACCCATTATACTGCTAATTCTAAGTTCATTGCTCATATTGTTCCATTCTGTTGAAGAAAGTGTAAAATAAAAGAAAGAATGAGAAAGAGAGAGAGAGAGGGAGAGAAAGAGTTATTACCAGCATCCTTTCTTGATGGCTATCTCCCAAGTTTCTTAAGAATTGTAAGACAATCATAAAAGATTGTTCTGGTTGAGTTAAGAGGCTGCTTTTGAAGTTTAAATTGCAGCTTTTAGTTCATATTTATGCAACCAAAGTGACGTGAAATTCTCTTTTTCATGTGTGGTGAGGTCATCAACCTCATAAAGTCAGGTGGATAATGTTTACCATATCCTGTTCTGCAGGGCATGTTCATTCCTCAATCACCAAACACCAGAACCCTACCTGGTACCTCAGGCAGATGGATGGAAGGTATTTTATGTGTTGCCTCTGGTGAATTGCTAAACAGTTTTCCATATGTTCTGTAATTTTCCTGCATGTTTTGCGAGTAGTTTGTGTAGGATTTGGTTAGGTAGTGTAATTTACTGAGGGAACAAGGGACTACCAACAGAGACTCTGCATTTTATCCATGATTGTGTGGTCTTGAATCTGTAAGATGGGGATAATACCTTCATAGACCTCCTCATGGGGAGCATGTAAGGACTGAGTGAGATAATGTAGTTTCTTTGTAGATTCTGAGATACCAAAATGCAGGGTACCATTACCAGGAAAAATATAGAACTGGTGGACTTGACGTTTTCCTTTGATCTCTGGTAGTTGCTCTTTGCTTATGTTAGCTTTCTCCCTGTTGTGTTACAATTGCTGCAGTGATGGAAGTGCTGAATCTTGTATAAGTTCCAGATCTCCAACCTGGGTGCTGCTTCTCTTGCTTAGTACCAGTGCAGTCTTCCATGCATATGAATGGAGATAAACTTGGCAGAGGTTCTCAGCCTCCAGTCGGTAATTTATTCCATGCATCCACCCTTTAGACCTTTAGACACAGTTCTATAATTAGAATTCTAACTCTTCAGTGTTTTGATTTTCCATGGGGTGAAGCTCAAACTACTTCTTGTGGCCTGAAGGACCCCTGTTAGATTTCTCTGGACTCTCATCTTCTGAGAATTGCATACAACTCTCCCTCTTGCTCACTCTGCTCTGGCCACACTGGCCTTTCTGTTCCTTCAGAAATCCTGGATCAGTCTTGCCCAAGACACTGGCCCCAGCTGTTGCCTGTGCTTGAAAAGCTTTCCTGTTTTCTTTTTTCCTGGCACATCTTCTCAGGGACAGTTACTATCAGTATTCTGGTCTCAGCTCAAATAATCTTATTTTCAGACAACCATTTTCAGCCCTCCAAACTCAAGTAGGTTTCTGATCTCACTTGCTCTCTTTCACATGATCCTGTTTTGTTATTAACTACCTAAAATTATTTTCTCATGTGTCTCTTCACTTATTTATTATCTTCTTTTTATTTTTGTTTGGTTTAGATCTAAATTGTCCCTAAAGGTTTCATGTATGTGGAAGGAGGTTGAATAATAGGGGTGCTGTATTTAACAGTGGATTCATGCCTTGATGAGTTCATAGCTGAGTGTCTTTTTTATTTTAAAGAGAAAAAAAACCATAAAAATAACAACAAAGGCAAAAAAAAAAAACACAAAACAATAAAAATGATGCACAATTTCAAAACAAGAAGATAGGAATTAATAATAGTTGTTATCTTACATATTGTTATCTTCAATGAAATTGTTCAGATTAGCAGATGTAAGAATGCAAGAGTGATCAAACAATTAAAAAAAGAATAAATAGTAACAAAAATTAGAAATGATACAGGGCTTCATTAAACAAGATGGTAGGAATTCAGCAACGGTTGTTATATTGCATATTGTTGTCTTCAAAATTTGTTCAGATTACCAGATATAAGCATGCAAAATTGATCAAGAAAAAAAGAAAAAAAATTAAGCAATAACTGTTTGCTTCAATAAACCAGTAGAATGTCTTTTCGGAGGTGGGGTCTGGTTTGAGTTGGGTCCCTGGGACTGTGACTTGGAAGAGTGACCTCAGCAACTCTTTTCTTTCTGTTGTTCCTGACTGCCATAGGTCAAGCACCTTTCTTCTGCCAGGCCCCTTTGCCACCTGTTTCTGTCTTAGAGCTAATTGACCATGGACTGAAACTATGAGCCAAAGCAAACCTCGCCTTCTTTAAGTTGCAGGTGTTGGATATTTTGTATCAGCAACAGAGAGTGACTAAGACAGAAATTAGTGCCAGAGAAGTGGGGTCATTGGTGTGACTATGACTGATCATATGGCTCAGAATACTTTGGAGCTCATTTGTGGGAGGAGTTTGGGAAGGTTTGGAGATGCTGGCTAGAGAAGTCATAGAATGTTGTAAGCTGAGCTTGATGGGACATTTTGGCTGGAGCTCAGAAGACGGGGATGCTGGTAAGAATGCAGACAGTAAAGGCCAGGTTCAGGAGGTTTTAGTTGGGGGCAAAGACTCCATTGGCAATTAGACCAGAGCCCAGGGCACAAATTTGTCTTCATTTTTATCTGTGTTTTCAGACTTTGTAGGAGACTAAGATTAACAGCGCTGCAGGACACAAAAATTTTCTTATTGCATATCTACTGCATCCAAGGCAGTATGCTAGGTGCTGGGGATAGACAAGATTCAGTCTTCTGTGTGGTGGTGTAAATGTATCTCAGGGTTTAAAGTAAAGGGACTTGGTCCCTTTAATTGGTGACCAGTGCACTTTTTCAGAGTTGATGAATACTGAGAAGTTTGTTTATTACTGTACATTTCCCAGCAGAAATAAATTGGTAGCT